ATGACACAATTTAAAAAAAAAGATTAAAATGTCTCTGCAAGCCGTCAGCTGTTGACTCAAAAAGAGCCAAATTTTAACATTATTAATATGACAATTTTTACTAGTATTTTAAAAAGTTTCTAAATTTTGAAACACACCATATAAACATTAGTTAGTTATTATATAAATTAGAGTTAGAATTCTTTTTTCGTTTTCATTTTTTAACTTTGAAAATTGGCAATTTGCTAAATAATCTTTTGTTTAATATGTTATCCGGTAATGATTAGAAAATAGAATTTGTTTTCCAAACATTTTTTTCCACTAACTTATAGGAAAAACTAAAGGATTTGTAAGTAATAGCTAAGATATTATAAAATTTTTCACTGACTTATTATCGTAACTATGTGATTTATTACAAAGGGCAGGTAACTCCAAAGATAAGAAAAATTAGCTACGGGTCCGCTTTCAGAAATTTTGGGTGCGCCCTGGGTTCGCTTCGGGTTCGCTCTGCGTTCGCTCGGGGTCAGCTCTGGGTCCGCTAGAGCGAACCCGGCGTTCTCTTTCTGGGTTCGCTTTACGCACTCATGCGCGAAGCGGACCCCGCTTCACTCTTGCCGCCAGTAAGCTCCGCCCCTTGTTTATTCCAAATACAGCAGTGATATCAATCACTGTTATTTTTGTGGCAATCGATACAAGTGCATGTGCAGTGGCTGCAGTGTTATTGTTGACAACATACACGAACGATCACGTTTTACACAAAATAGTTAAAAATATTTAGGAGTGGATTAAAAAAAAAAAAAAAAAAAAAAAAAAAAAAAAAAAAAAAAAAAACTACTTATTAATAGATATTTTAGATTAAAATATATTTACTGCTGCAATTAATCGACTTTGGAAATCTGGAAAAAAAATTGTAGAAAAAAAAATATTTTTGAAACTACATGTAAATAAGATTTAATAGGTATTTTAGATTACAAATAATTATTAATGTAATTCTCCGACTTAGAATTTTTTTTAATCTTTTTGATACGTAAAAATGTAATTTATGATCGAATGCAACATGTTCTATCATATGATATAGGTTGACTGTGAGTTTTGATTCTATTGGATTTTATAAGTATTGGGAATTAATAATTTTTTTGTAAAAATGTACATTTCTGATGTATTGATATAAAAATATCATGACCACAAAAAGCAGTTAACGGGACCCATCATCAGAGGAAAAAATCGCTAAACATCTTAAATACGCTTTATCATTTAAAGTTACGCTATTTTAAAAGAATACAATACTGTACGACTTATTATATTGCTTATTTACTACCGACAATTAGTTCGTTCAATAATGTACATGTAAATCGCGCGTTGTTTTTTTTTCTTTTTATTTCAGTTAATAATAATAAAAAACAACAACAAGGTAAATCAAGCTTTACATTATTTTTTGTAAATGATAAATCAAAATAATACCATAGTAGTTTACGATTGGACATACTGTACGGGTACATTTATGCTGTTCTTTATTTATTTTTATTTATTTATTTATTAATTTATTTATTTATTTATTTTTACTTTTTTTCAATTAAGAAGATTAATAATTTTGATGTTGATCTGGATTTAAACAAAAATGTAAATTAGAATGATAAAATAAAATAATTGAATGAAAGCACGTACATTTACATACTCTTGTACAGTATCTTGAGAAAATGAAATGTTATAATTTGTCAAAATACTTTTTTTTTTCTTTTTTTTTTTTTAGTAACAATTGTTATAACCATTATTTTCTTTTATACATCAAAGAACTTTTTGTCTGATAAATTTACGCAATATAAATAAATGGATTTTAAAAATAAAAAATAAAGAAAAAATATATGTGTAAATATAACATGCTACCTAGATATTAATTTATAAATATAAATATTTTTTAATCGTGTTAATAATAATTTCACACTGTACATAAACACGCTTTGCTTGTAGAATGTTTTATTTACATCGAATGACAAACTGACATGCTGATCGGTGGACGCGCTGATTGGTTAACACGTCTTATCGCTAATCCTGATTGACAGATCAGTTACGCAACACCGAACGCGCGTTCGCTTGCTGGGTTCGCTACTGAATTTGGGGTTCGCTTTCGGCGTTCGCTCTGGGTCCACTGCGGGTTCGCTCCGGGTTCGCTCGGGATCCGCTATAGCGAACCCCAAGCGAATCCAGGCAGCGAACCTGGGTTGCGCTTTGGGTTCGCTTCCTGTTAGGTTGTGTCTGGTCGGAACTGTACATATATATATATATATATATATATATATATATATATATATATATATATATATATATATATATATATATATATATATATATATATATATATATATATATATATTTCCACACACGTAGTCGTATATCAAAAAATCACAACACCGAAATAAACTTTTATTTTAAACGTTTATTTCGGTGTTGTGATTTTTTTTTTTTGAGATATATATATTATATTATATTATATTATATTATATTATATATATATATATATATATATATATATATATATATATATATATATATATATATATATATATATATATATATATATATATATATTATTTAAAGATCTTTTTAAACGTTCAACTGCCTTTTAAAAATAGAATGTAAAAATATTTAAAATACGATGCTATGGAAAATAAAGTTTACTGTCCGAAAGAACCTATCAATAGCAGCCTTAATGTTAAATTGTATTGAGGAAAGAGAAGCATTTTTTCTGTAAGAAAAAACCAAATAGTGGTCCTCAGGGTGATTTTTTTTTCTTGTTCTTGAAAATGCTGCTACAAAAAAGCTTTGAGATATACATGTAAAGGAAATTTGAAGACTGGTGCGTATACGGAGCATGTGATTTCCAGCAATATTTCTGTGTCCTGCAGATGAGAATTACTATCTGGCAATATTGCTGATGCGTTGCAAATTCATATAGACGAAAAAAGTCATTCATTACAGAAACCACTCTCAAATATGTTTTCTTTTTGAAAGATGGGCGAACAAGGCGAGCAAAATGCTTATAATGTGACAAACATGACGGTGAAAAATAAAATCTTAATTATATCAAAATTTTCTTAGATATTTCATCTAACATTAAAATATACGTTATGTAAAATCTCTACAATTTGCCAAAATCTCACAAAGATTGAAATTATTTGCCTATGAAATAGCATTAACACAGAAAGAATAATTTTCTCAACACAATACTATAACACAATTTTTTTTTTAAATAGGAGTGGGTCTTCGCTCCATTTTTTTAAAGTTAATCCTTAAAGTTTACGTAAAAATATATAGCTTTTTGTTAACAAACTCATGGAGCAACGATCCACTATACCTTAAAAATACACTTTTATGACAAACATTTGCATAATTTCGAAAAATATTTGAAGTCCATTTAGACAAAGGTCATATCACAAACATGATTTTAATGCCACTCTTTAGCAAGAGATGTGTCGTGTTAGTCTCAAAGTAATATGAAACTCAGGATTTTTAGCTCACCTGAGCTGAAAGCTCAAGTGAGCTTTTCTAATCACATTTTGTCTGTAGTCCGTCTGTCCGTTTGTCTGTCTGTCTGTCCGTCCGTCTGTAAGCTTTTCACATTTTCGACTTCTTCTCCAGAACCACTGGGCCAATTTCAACCAAACTTGCCACAAAGCATCCTTGGCTAAAGGGGTTCAGGTTTGTTCAAATGAAGGGCCACTCCCTCTTCCAAGGGGAGATAATTAAGAATTGGTGAAAATTTGGTGTCATTATTTAAAAGTCTTCTTCTCAAGAACCATTGGGCCAGAAAAGTTGAAACTTATGTGAAACCTTCATTACATAGCGTATATTCAAGTCTGTTCAAATCATGACCCCCAGGGGTAGGGGGGGGCACAATGGGGGATCAAAGTTTTACATAGAAATATAAAGGAAAAATCTTGAAAAATCTTCTTCTCAAGAACAACAAAGCCACAATTAATCATATTGATATGGAATCATCCTCAAGTAGTGTAGATTCAAGTTCGTTCAAATCATGACCTACGGGGTTAGGGTGGGGCCACAATGGGTGATCAAAGTTTTACAGAGGAATATATAGGAAACATCTTTAAAATACTTCTTCTCAAGAACAACAAAGCCACAATTAGTCATATTGATATGGAATCATCCTCAGGTAGTGTAGATTCAAGTTTGTTCAAATCATGACTCCCGGGGGTAGGGTGGGGACACAATGGGTAATCAAAGTTTTACATAGGAATATATAGGAAAAATCTTTAAAAATCTTCTTCTCAAGAACAACAAAGCCACAATTAGTCATATTGATATGGAATCATCCTCAGGTAGTGTAGATAAAGTTTATTCAAATCATGATCCCCAAGGGTAGGGTGGGGCCAGAATTGGGGATCAAAGTTTTACATAGGAACATATAGAAAAAAACCTTTAAAATTCTTCTTCTCAAGAACAACAAAGCCACAATTAGTCATATTGATATGGAATCATCCTCAGGTAGTGTAGATTCAAGTAATATTGGACGGGACCAGATATTCGAGATGTTGGGGCACATAAAATAATTACAATATATATGTTTAATTCTATCATCTTGAAATTCTTTATCACTCCTAGAAGACCCATAGTACAGAGGGGGTCGAGAGGGACAGCCTTCTGCTTTTTTGTGGGTTTTTTTTGTTTTTTGTTTTTTGTTTTTTTTTGTTTGTAAATTCGATACCATTCAAACACCGCGCACCTTTCTCTCAGAAGATCAAATCTCCTCCAGCGTTTTGACAGTTTGGGGCTGTTTGTTTTTCCTTTGTTCATATTCATTTTTGGTGGTGGTTGCTCTCTCTCTCTCTCTCTCTCTCTCTCTCTCTCTCTCTCTCTCTCCCCCTGGAAAATGGATACGTTTCTACCGGCCTCTATCATATTTGCGTCCCTAACACTTCGGTCCTTGAGAAAATAAATCTCTCGTTAGGTTTGTTACTGGGTGTCTACAAGTATATATCGGGTTGATTAATTCCATTGACTTCGCCTCACTGTCTATGAGATTGACTAACTCGATATATTCTTGTAGGCACCCAGTAACAATCTGTAACAAAGCAAATAAGTAATAATAACAAAAGCTTATAACCTCTCCGTGTACAATTGGATGAGTTATTCACATTAAAATCGATGGATGAACAAAACTTTATCCATTCATTCTGTTTATGCTAATGATAGGCGATATACATGTATTTTGTGCTTTTTTTATGTTTGTTGCAGTAACAGTTAAGTTTGTTTCCTAAAACAAACACCTTTGCTATTTCTTAATAAAATAGAAATCCTAAAATGGGAAAATATGTCCAGTTTGAAAATTATTTTACCTTCTTCTTTTCTTTCGCAAATGAAGGGTTTCGTCTTCTTACAGTTGTCTGTGTAGATTTTCATTGCTGTTCTATTATAGTACAGACAAACAATCTCTTCTGTAAATTTCTCTTCAGGTTTATGTATTGCTGATAAGGAATTCATGGATTTACAATCTCGCATCAAAATCTCTTTGTTTGAAGTGCGCATAAATCCTCCGATCCATAACCCAACAGACACACTGAAAAACAAATAAAAAACATAAAAAAAACGACGCTTATATGTATAGTGTAATGACTAGTCAAGGCATTAAAAATATAAGGAAAAGTTTAATATATAATTGAAGGGGAAATTGTCTATATTTCAAGCAATACATGTTGTATATTAAGAAATTTAGTCACTGAATTATTAATAACATGATTTTTGCTGCTGTAAAAGACGAAATTGTCTAAGAATAAATTGTATGCATGTATTTAATGTGTTTAAAATGTACAGTTCTTATTATCTTCTCTGTTTGAACATACTTGATTGGATTAAAAAAAAGACTGTCCACGTCACTGAGTAAATCCTCCATGATATACATCTCAGAGAGGGAGGTAATCTCAGTCAGTATCTGATTATTCTGTTCACAAACATCATAAGCTGTGTACCAAGAGGTTTCTGGCATGCGAACACTGTACCTACATGTAGGACCATATCCTAAAAAAAACTATTCACTTTACTATATAATACAGGAAGAAAACTTAGCAATAATTGAAAAATACTGTAAAAAGCAGATATTATTCGTTACATTATGAATGGTGATTCATCATTTTGAAATTCATCGGCCATGAATAATTTTTGTGACTGGGAAAAAAATGTACAAAAATATACAAGTAAATAATCGGTTCGTAGGAAGTAATATTTCTGAATTTATATTAAAGAAGTTTGCGAAACTCGCAGATATTTTTCAAAGTTAACGTTATATAGCGTTACTTAAAATCTTAAGATGATTAATCTTAAAGACACTGGGGTCAGTGTGCGTCTAACTGAGCAACAGTACATTAAGTTTGACCGTTTTGCACTTAAATTGTATCTTGTAGGTTAATCATATAACATCAATCATATTTCACCAGATGTAAATATTGCAAAAAATACAACCTTATTTAATGATAAATAGCTTAAATGATTTACATGTATAATTTTTAAAGAAAAAATGAAAAAAAGAATGCACGTAAATTAATGAATTACCTATTTGCACTGATATGATATTTTGAGTATTAGAAACCTAAAAATGACATTTTCGGAAAAGAAAATGTTACTCAGTCGTGAACATATAAGCCAAAATTATTGTTATAGTTTTATTTTCAAGACAGTTCTGAAAATGCAAAAAAAAAAAAATTTGTAAAATACTAACATGAAAATTCTACGCACATAATTACGTAAACAAGAGGCCCATGGGCCACAATGCTCACCTGAGTCACTTTGTCCATGCTGCTTTGCATCAGCTTTTTCCCCAATATACATATATTCCTATGTCAAATTTTGATTGTCTTTTATGGGCCCACCCTAAACACAGGGGGCCATGATTTAAAAAAAAATGAATCTACACTGCCAGAGGATGCTTCCACTTTAATTTGATCCATCACAGTTTGCTTTTCTCAGGTAGAGAATTTTAAAGATTTTTCCCCACGTACTCCCTATTTTGGCCCCGGCCTACCCCCGAGGACTACGATCTGAACAATTTTTAATCTACACAACCTAAGGAAGTTTCCACATAAGTTTCAGCTTTCTGGCCCTGTTATTCTTGAGAAGATTTTTAAAGATTTTCCCTATATATTTCAATGTAAAACTTTGATTTCCTATTGTGTCCCCAACCTACTCCCGGAGGCCACGATTTGAACAATTTACAGTCTGCACTACCTCAGGAAGCTTCCACATAAGTTTCAGCTTTTCTGGCCCAGTGGTTCTTGAGAAGAAGATTTTCAAAGATTTTTCTTTTACATTTCAATGTAAAACATTGATTTCCTATTGTGCCCCTACAATACCCCCGGGGACCATAACATGAACAATTTAAAATGTACACTATCTCAGTAAGCTTACACATAAGTTTTAGCTTTTCTGGCCCAGTGGTTCTTGATTTTTTAATAACCCCACCCTATTTTTGCATTTTCTTGATTATCTTTCCTTGGGAGGAGACTCGCCCCTTCATTTAACAATTTAGAATACCCTTTACACAGGAATGCTTTGTACTAATTTTGGTTAAAATTGGCCTAGTGGTTCTTAAGAAAAAATTGAACATCTAAAGTCTACAGACGTACGGACGGACATACGGACGGACAACGGGTGATCAGAAAAGCTCACTTGAGCTTAATAAAAGAAAACTGTAGATTTTGAGCATTTTCTTTCCTACAAGAAATTCATAAATTTTATTCTAATGTGATCTTGTGAGCTTTTTAATTGAATGTTGTATGATTTTCATTGCTAAATCAAATACGTTATGAAAATTAAATTGTATTTTATAATGTTAACATTTGAGGTCCTGACTTTTTTCCAGAAGCGGAGAAGTGAATTTATTCAAACATTAATACCAAGAAAAAGTAGATTTCTATAAATTTTTAATTACATGAGTACTCCTATTCAAAATCCAAGTCGTGCATGTAAGACTTAAAATACTTTATATTTGAGGTTAACGCTTTTCCCGAGGAAAATATTTTTTACATTTACAGTGGCTTATCCAGGAATTTCATAACGGAGGGCGCAGTAGAAGGCAGGGGATCTGGGGGCTGCATTGAAGCCCCCAGTGGGTCCAGGGCAAAGCCCTGGTGGGTTTCCGGGAGCGAAGCCACCGGAAGCTGACGAATTCTTACAAAGTGGTGTTTTTCCCTTGATTTTAGGATAATGGACATATAAGTTCTACATACAAAAAATTCACACGTGGGGAGGGGGCGCCCGGCGCGCCGGCGCTGGATCCGCCTTTGATTTATACTTTTCTATTGTAATGTAGTCCTGTTTTAATTTTGCATATATAGGGTGAGTTCACCATGTATCGAGCATATACCTTGCTTTGGACAACTTTAAGCAATAATCTTGCATCCAATCTGAATGTCTCTGTAGTTTGACTTGTTTCTGTCTTAAGGCCGAAGATTTAAACTTTTGAAAGATGCTGATTTTTATTATTGCAGCCCGGAGGACCGGGCTAGTCTATACATATAAGTTTAAGTTTTAGTGTATGGGATTGAGATGGGAGAAGTTATGCAATTAAAGGTTAACTAGACATTAAAAAAATTATACATCAGAATGTTCCTTCCCTTTATTAATTACGAGATACACAATATATTTGTACATGTAGTAGAGGTACTTTCATTAAAATGATAAAAGTTGAAATGATTTTAAATTAAATAAAATAAATATTAAATATAAATTAAATAAACTAAATAGACTATTAAATATGTTATAAATGCATAAAGGATAATTTTTTTCTATTAAAGTTTCATTCTGTTCATTCTTTACTAACATGGGTATATAGTGACAAAGCTATACACCCCTTTAGATCCACACATGTACATATACTTTTACATGACCACAAACACATCTACTGATCAGATTTTGAAATGGTTAGATTTCATTGATTGAAAGTTTGGTCTTTGTGGGGTACCGAGTTTTATTCAGTTTTAGCTCAAGATTTCATGGTGATAGTTATGCATACAGTTTAAGCTGCTGACTTTTTTTCTAAAGACCTAAGACAGTTCCCTGAAATGTAACCCCATAAGTAAAGAATGTAAATAATTATATTTGGAGAAAGTTCATTTCCATAAATTGGTATGTCTATCTGTATATATATTTTTATGATTTGTAAAGAAACATAAAAGAAAGACAACTCTTCACAATGCTGTCAAGAGAAATTAACTCCCTTTTATAGTATATAAGTATTCTTCATGTTATCATATCGAGTAAAATTGAAACATATGATATTAATTGTAAAAGGGAAGACCGATAATTTGGTATAATTTTTATGATCAGAATATTAGATAATTGATATACTTTATGTACATATTTTATGACGCAATTTCTATAATGCAGGACATTTCCATTAATCCATTTTCCATATTATTCATTATCCATTTATCTATCATCAACTGGACATTTTATATTAATAAACGCATAATTTAAAAGTTATAACTGTGTTTTCCATCATTGCCGGGAATACCCGCTACATATTTACTTCCATGAAGTACATCTTTAAAAATATATAAGTTTTTCATATGTAATATACAACGTTGCTTATCATTTACTATCGAAAAAACGACAGGGCCCTTTTTTAGAACATTTAATTATTACTTATCGTATAAGAAACGTACATTGTACAGTTTGTATTTTATATTCATTAAGTCAAATATATTTTTGATGATAGGTGATACATCTGTCTGATTTTAATTTTATGCAGCCAACAGTTACTTGAGGAAAGGATAAAGTTTAAAAAGGTATCGTTTTTGTTCGATTTCATCTGATAAGATTTCCGTAAATCTTCTCGACTATAGTCTCCATCATTCAGACGCATGCCGTTATCGCACAAATCGAAGCGGTTTGATGATCAAGACTAATTTCCATTGTTTACTTCATTTTCCCCGGCGACAATTGATGGCAACATCATATGGAGGGTAATCATGTTCAAAAATCCAGACTTGTAAGATTGTAAGTCCAAACTTGTAAGTTTGTTAATCCAGAATTGTAATCGTATTAGTTTCATAGTCTACATATGTAAGAAGGTAATTCTGACATCCTAGCATGTAGTTCCGAGCATACAACTGTGTTGACTTTGAGTTTATACTATGAATGTGTGTATTTTTGATGTTGTAAATTTTTTTTCCGGAATTTATATTTCTGCGCTCTGAATAAAACACAAAGACAATTGACAAGTCTACAAATGTTTGTCGAATTTTGATAATGAGAAACTATGGAGGGTCATAAATGCCACAATTATTTTTAATGGTCTTATTTTCTTTTTTATTTAAACTTTTTGTTTTCCAAATTAAATTCTTCATTTTTTATTTCTTAATTTAATTCTTACTTCTTGAAGGCGCGGATCTAGAAGGGGGTCCGGACCCCCCCCCCCCCCCTTTCCCCCTGAAATTTGACTTATTAAATGTTTATACTAAACGAACCAAAAGTGACCTTGGAACCCCCCCCCCCCTCGAAAACGCTGATCTGTGTTAAGTTGACGCCCCCCCGCCCCCCCCCCCCATCAAACACACACACACACGCGTGAAATAGGTTCTTCATGCTTGGGAAAGGAGTTTGCTTTTTTTTTGCTTGTCAAATTTCTGGGTTGGATTTTTTTGACTGTGATGGACCCCCCCCCCCTTGGATCCGTACCTGTTCTTGTTTATATTTTCCAGTTTTATTTTATTTTATTTTATTTATTTTACTATGGCAATTTCGATTCCTTTCGTATTTTTATTCTATCTTAAAATTTCAATTATGTTTCACTTCACCTAACTTAATACTTATTTTTTTTTTTTTGGTAATAACTAGAAGCAAAATCAAAAGTTTGTTTAAGAAAGTAGAACTTACAGAGTTAAACTAAGAAATCCGAATAAAATTTAAACGAAAAGGGGCGTTACGGCCTTTTCTGTACAGGTACACAGAGATCTTGGCGAACAGTCTAGCTCCGAAACGTAGAAACATTTCCATGGAACATATTTTTTTCATTTTAAAAACCATATGATATCATTGTTGCGAGTTTTCTCTCGTTTTCAGGCCCGTAGGAAGCATTTTCATTGGGTGGGGTGGGGGTGGAGCAGTGGACAGAAAACAAAAATTTCTTGATAAGCTCCCCCCGGACCTGGTTCGGGGCCATAAAACTTAGATGAACTCACTTTTGATCCCAGTCTCTCTTTTCTACATAGTTACTATTAATTCCTTTGGTAAATGTGAGACTGTGATCAAAAATGAGCCCGTCTACGTTTTATGGCCCTGGTGCAAGATGTTTCAAATATGATAAATAAGACCGCCATTTTTGATTGCCCGCTTATGGTACACAAATATAAGGTATCTTTAAATTGTTATTAAAGAACCCTAACTGCAAGCTGTGTGGGAAGAGAGGGACCATGGCGCATATTCTCTCAGGATGCCAAGTTGCACTGACCCAGGGGAGATATAGATGGCGACATGACAAAGTCCTGCGGGAGTTGGGTGATGGTTGGAGACCATCTGATGATGATCAGAACGGACAGGCGAGCAAGAGGGGCGGAAGATAGTGACAGATAGTGATAGGCATGCTTAAGAGTGCCAAGCTGACAGTTGGCAGAAATCCATTTTCTGTAAGTGCATACTAAATTGATATTGTCATCACATTATTTTTTTTAAAGGTCAACTGAAAAGATTTTTCACTTTCATTCAATTTACCCTTTATTATCTTCAAGCAAATCATAGAATTCAAAGTATATTAGTTATTCGGTTATATTTTAATGTATTTCCGAAATATTTAGGGTAAAAGTTGTCACACCTGAAATCTGCCCTAAAATTTTGTGCGAGTTATGCCCCTTGACACGAACCCGCCATATTGAAATTACAGATGCTGAAACGTCATGCTCCGGACGATAGGGGATTGAAAAATAAAATATGGTGCTGTGTACAGCACCAAACTGTAATATCCGATACGGACAGGGTGTGTCTATGTTTGCTTTCCCCGAGGATCCAAAATTATGCCAGATTTGGGTAAGAAAGCTGAAAACCATTAATTATTGGCCATCTGAGAAATGGCTATCTATCCTCAACCATATCACTGATGTTCATGAGGGTCATGGAAAGCGATTCCCCAGGTGCTTACATGGTGACCTGGAGGACAGAGATTGGATTAAGAAAGGTAACTATGTAAGCATTGGCTTGAAAAAAAAAACATTTTTGAGCCTCTACTTTGCAGATATACAGTATAATTATGTGACATATATATTCTACAATACATAAATATATGAAAGTCTGTACATTGTTATGAAGCAATATTGATCTAAACTACCAAAAAATGTATCCTTATTTCAGGTAGTCTAGCTTTCCAGGAGATGGAAAAAGTTGGTAAGGGCAGACTGTTGGTGCAAGACATTAAGAAACTCTCCCCTGCAGAGCAAACTTCAGCACTTGAAGCCTACCACAATGTAGTGTGTCATTTTGCACCCAAATCTTTGCATTTCTTTTATGCTACAATGAAGGCCAGGTAAGTATTTTTTTCATTTATTCAAAACTCAGTTGCTAAGAATTTTTTTTTAAAAGATTTTAATCATAATTCATGAATTCCACTGTTCTTCTTTTTTCCAGACTATACATTGCAGCCCTGCACTTCAATTAAAACTCCAGCCGGGATCAAGCTGTAAACAAAAGTAGCACTATATATAATATATTCTGTGTCATATCCAAAAGGCAGAAATTGAGCTGGCATTCCAAAGGAAGTCAAAGTAAAGCAAACATACAGTAAGTAAAAATTTTAAAACTTTTCCTATAACTTAATACATTTAGTATGTAATAGTGTGTCTTAATTTTATTCATATTAACATATATCTCTTTAAAATTTATTTCTCTGTTTGTTTAAAGATTATGCAATGGTTTTGATGTAAGAAGTGAACAAAGTGAGATTGGAGTTTGGTTCGTACAGCGAGTCCATAAAGAGACGTGAGGCTGCCATGGTGAACTGTCCTGCTCTAATTGCATCCTCGTACCAACATGTCCCAAAATCAGAATTGTGGAGTGCCATATTTGTCGGTTTAATAAAAAAAATGTTAGTTTACTATACAATCATGAACAAACAAAATGAATTGTGCTCAAACACCAATAACTATCTAAGCTTGTAAACATCAATAATTTTCTAAGCTTGTAAAAATAAGTTTATGTCATGAATACAGGGATAATGAAGTTGCTTGTTTATGTTACAAGCCTTTAAAAAGATTCAATTTTTTTTCCCCCAAATATCTGTACCTAGGACATTCCTGTTGGATACCTAAACCCACAGTATTGCTGAGATGGAAATGCAGTTCTAATCTTTGTTACTACACATGATGGCAAGATCTTCCTGTTGTTTTTCCCAAACATTGCCATATCCATCGCACAAATCGTCGATATGCTAGATGCCTGTAAACACAAAGAACAGACAAACTTTTTAAAAATAATCAGAACTAACGACACTTGCAGTTAGATTCAGTGATTTTTTTTTTGTTTTAAATAAGCTGTTATTTGAAATGAATAATCTATTATAAATACATGTCTTAATAGTTGCAGTACCAGGTACAACCCCCCCTCCCCCCCCCCCCCCATACACACACAAACATTCATGCTTACATGTAAACAATTGCATAATTTTATTCCAATTCCTTTGACATAAAATCATGATCATTAAAAAGATGGCAATTAAAATATTTTCTAGAATTGTAAAGTATATCTGTTTTTGGGTGCTTCATTAGTTCAGACAGTATTAAATATTCCTTTCAGTCAGAATGACCAGAGGTATTTACATGCATGTATAATACTTCTTTATTTGTATTATCAAGATTACAATTTTACAATTTTACCAAAAAAAAACCTACTTGTATATTAATTCATTTTCTTCCAGTGGCCCATGTTCTTCTAGATATTCATAAAAGGATGTCTCTAAAACCCATCTGTTGAGACAGTTTGCTGTGAAACCCTCATGTTCTGTGATGCAGGTTTCTCCTTTCTTCCAACCTTGACTCAATAGCAGCATAAAAACGGCAACATTGGCATTCTCTTGCAGTTGGCATAGTAATGCAATTTTTACAGGGACACCTGCACCCCAAAATAAATGTTACCACCCATATTTGCAATTTTTAGCATTCATGTAAATGAAGTATACTTTTCATGAATATAACTATATAAATCTTAATTCATGAAAAATACTTAGTAGTTAATGTAATCCGATTTAAACTGTCCATACAACAATTAAATTTCTTTAAATTAACAATATCTTTTATATCTCCATAGGCTTTGAAACCCTATTTTTTTTTAAATTTATTCTCGTCCTTTAACAGCTGTCCTATTGTGTTTATGTGTAGGACCAGTATACCAATATGTACATGAAGTACTAATCCTAGAATCAGCATACTTAAAATCTACCTCTAAATACAAAGTTCTTAAACTTTTTTATGCTGATCATTTCAGATACTTTTAGTTAATACTTAAAATACATGTATGACTATATACCAGTGCATGTCTGACGGCAGTTGTTCAGAGATTTCATCATCACTATGGACGCTTCCTTGTGCCGACTGCCCCGAGTCACTTCCATCGTCAAACGGCTGTCTTGTTGTTTCTTTGTCTTTTAACCGGCACGTATTGATACGGCTGCACAGTCAGTTTAAGGGTTAAGTCTATTTCAGGTATACTTTCGTCCATGTCACTTTCGTTAGACTCGTACATTATGGGCGACGCCATGTTCCACTAAGGGCAGATAACTCATATCGGACCGTTTTGCCTGAGCTTCGGATTTGAGAAATTTTTACCTGTGTTTCAACGGGTTAAAAAAATAATCATGGGACAATTCTTTTTTAGGTATCAACTTCCTAAATAAGTAGTTTAAACAGACTTTGAGAACCTTTTCAGTTGACCTTTAAAGTAGGACAGAGAAATTTTTTTCACTAACAAATCTTAGGTCCGAAGTAGGAGGGATCGAAAGGTTGGGCTCCAAACTTTTTTTGTGTGGAGAGTAATCTTTTCTAGCTGTTTTAATATGAAAATTCATTTATAGGCTGTATGCCCAACCACCCCCACCCCCATCCCCCTTATTTTTTAGTATCATTAAACTCTGACAAATTTTTGCGTTGAAAAGAAATTTACTGAAAAGTTAAAGATATCCTAAACATCGCCTCCCACGAAGGAGGAGTTTGGGCAGTTTATCTTTTTTTTTTCGTCAATTTTTTTGGAGCGCTCCCCCCCCCCCCCGATAAACATTGATACGGATCTTCATCTACTGAGTGGTTGTTGTTGTTTTTTTTTTAATATGATATCTTTGCAGTTACATTGGTTCTTAATAAACTGGGGCACTGATCAAGTGGTTGGGCGCTAGCTTCTTAGGCCATTGGAGGGTAAGAGTTCTCTTGTCCTAAGTTCCTAGTGCCGGCCGGCAAAATGTAAGACGTTTAACATACGTGTTGGTAATAAGTATTCCTTCGGCATTGAAAGTCAAATTTAATATTTTTTCGGTTGAGACCTTAAAAACCGAAGCCCCTCTAGATCCGAGCAGGCTGTGAATAAGCGGGTAATGATTCATGTCACATCGTCAAATAAAATAAAATTAAGAAGATAAAATAAAATTGGAACATTTAAACAAAAAGTTAGAATTAAAATTAAATAACAAATTCAAATGAAAATATTAATATAAAATTGGAAGTTAGAATAAAAAAATCTAAATAATTTATTTCGGTTGGAAAAAGAAGAAATTAGAATAAAAAAAGGGGGGGGGGGAGAAATGTGGCACTGATGCCCCTCCATAGTTTCTCATAATCATGTAGATTTTATATTAGTAGACTTGTCAATTGTCTTTGTGTTTAATTCAGAGCGCGGAAATATAAATTCCGGAAAACAAAGTATACAACATCAAAAATACACACATTCATAGTATAAACTCAAAGTCAACACAGTTGTATGCTCGGAACTACATGCTAGGATGTCGGAATTACCTACTTACATATGTAGACTATGAAACTGATACGATTACAAGTTTGGATTTACAAACTTACAAGTCTGGATTTACAAACTTACAAGTTTGGATTTACAAACTTACAAGTCTGGATTTTTGAACACGATTACCCTCTATAACATCAATGTTTTCTTGTCATGTTGTGATATAAATACCACGATAATGGCCTTAAAGTGACGTCATATTTGAACCAATGTCATCAAAGGGAAATAACCAGAATTTTATGAGTTTGCAAATTTTTAGAGTTGTCTTTCTTTCATTAGAATTAAAGGGAACGAGTTCGTCTCCGGTTAAATTTGTAAATAGTTGATAATTTTATAGAAAATTCCAAGAAATGTCATTTAAAACATTATAATAATTTTTCGAGAGTTTTTTTTATCTAGTATTTTCATTTCAGCATACATCGGACACGAATTAGCCATGCATCGGACATTGTCCGCTGCATGGATAATGACTTTAATGTATAGAGATGCATGCATAATACCAAACCTGACGACCGTTTTTGCAGAAATAATAAAAATATAAACTCAAATATTCAGAGAAAATACAAGTTATCGATACATGACAACTAGAAGTGGGCTCTCTTTTTTTCAAACTATTAGATCTATGATCCCACGAAACCAAGGGGTTAGTTGTCGTATTAAGAGGCATTGCAAGGTCTATCAAATGCGATGTGATACAACTAACATCTCTCCACATTTGTGGATCGATATAGTCAATAGTCAATCAAATTAAAATAGAGAGTTATTTTTTAAATAAAGCATAACAATATTTTCATGTCACTAACTTATAAGCATTTTATGTATTTTAAAGTTAGGACGTTTTTCCTGTTCAATATACCGTTTATACGAAGCATAGTGAATACTGTCTTTTTTTAAAAATATTCTCTCCATAAATAGCATAAAATTGTCACAAATTCAGATTTTAATCACATAATACACGTTTAGCTCCATTTTGATAATATTAAGTCGGCAGCGATATCGATAGAACTTGTTCAAATAAGAGGGTGTCCGATGCACGGTGAACCCACTCTATTGATATTGTATTTAGCCATTTAAGCTAAACATAGCTTACTTGTAATGTATACTCTTCTTATTCAAATAGCAATATTCGTTGTGGAATTCACATTGAAGTTCTAATACGACTTATATATATATATATATATATATATATATATATATATATATATATATATATATATATATATATATATATATATATATATATATATATATATATATATATATATATATACGTTGATAAGTTAAATTCTTGGTACAGTAAAAAATACTTAAATAAATGAAAACAGAATGCTACAGTCCAAATTAAATAAAATCTTTACTGTTAGCGCTTTCAGCCATGTTGGCTCTTCAGACAGTTATGAAAAGAACTTTTCATAACTGTCTGAAGAGCCAACATGGCTGAAAGCGCTAACAGTAAAGATTTTATTTAATTTGGACTGTAGCATTCTGTTTTCATTTATTTAAGTCTATATATATATATATATATATATATATATATATATATATATATATATATATATATATATATATATATATATATATATAAACGGCCTGATAATATGATACAATGTAAACATCAACACTTTTATTTTCATGCAAATTAAGAAAATCTTACTTTTCCACGAATCTTCAGATAGCACTGACAAGGGCTC